CGAACTTATATATTATTACCTATATCGAATTAAGAACCTGATATCTATCTGCTACGGACGCCGGCACCCGTATCCACGACCCTATCTCCTTATAGCTCCGCAGGTAGTCTTCTTATACCTATCGGAAACGGTGGCCGTAAGGGTGCGAGGGTATATCGTAAGGGTTTTTCGGAGGAGGAGGGAGGTCTTTACGGTGGTTCTTTACGGCCGCCGGGGTAACCGCCGGAGTAACCGCTAGGGTTATATTTCCCGAGATAGCCTCCCGGGTTATACTTCCGGTGGCTACCGCCGGGGCTATAGATTCGTTGGGTATCGTTAAGCGTTATTATAGCGCTATAGACGTGGACCTTTTTAACTGTAATTTAGTTAGCGGAGTCCTATTTAATATATATATATAGGGGGCGTAGCGGCTAGTATTAAACGTAGTAACCTAATAGTCTTTTTGCTAGCTATCTCCTTACCGAATTGGTTACGCTTCTTTCTTTAATAGGAGCCCTATAGCCGTAGCTATAGGGGTATTATAGCACCGTATTCCGTTATCCTAGAACCCTACGGCCGTAGGGGTATCACAGTTTCCTGATATAATAGCTGCTATTAGTGCTATAACCGATAGCGGGGTTACTAGTAGAGTAGAAAGTAGTGGATCGGGCGGATATAGACGGTGATTAGGCACTACACCGGCTAAATCACACTATTCGTGACCTAAATCTTATCCTGATTAACTTAATATAGCCTCCTCTACCCTCTTACGGCCGGGTATTACGGACTATAACCTTAACGGTAAAGCCGTCGAGGAAGGGGATTCGGGGGCGTTTATCCCCGGATCTAATAATTTAAAATAAGCAGTTATATAAAGGCGGGGGTCCTTAGCTTATACGTCCGTAAACGGCCGTGAATCTCTAGCCCTCTCCTGCTCGATATAACTAATTAGGTCTTTTAATTACTCCTTAGTTAATTAACGGAGGTTATCCCTAAAGGCGTTAATATCGCCATTAAAAAAGGTATATTCGTTAAAATCTATATCGCGCGTGCGAACAACGCGGTGGTAGCGCTAGCCTAGTACCTAGATACGGAAGATATTAGTGGAATCGTAGCTAACGAGGTAGCCGATATAGGCGCGGGGAGCGATACGATTTAATAGCTTATTCGCGCCCTTTTAGGCGTCCTTTATTATCGTGTACGCTTTATAGCCGTAAGCTCGAAGATATAATAAAATCGGCTTCCTTCTAAAGAGAACCTTATATAGCGTTTTCTAATCCTTTTACTGCCTTCGTAGCGTCCGGTTATAGACGTATATAGCCGTGAGAATAGCCTTAGGCTATATAAACGGCGGTAGTTTTACGTGGATATTTATCGTATAACCTTTTAAAATAACCATAGCAGTAGCGCGTTTAGTACCCCTGTTCTACGCTTAAGTATCAGTAGTAGATACCTTTAAAAGGATACCCTTATCTCGCAGGAATTAGGTGATATCGTGGGATTAAGTTAGCTTATTATTAGATTCGAAAACGCGTACCTTATAGCCTAATTAGCGGTCTACCCAGGCGAGGAATTCTTTAATTATTACGAGGATATCCACTACTAGCTTACTTTTTATAATATAGGTGGCCGTAAAACCACTAAAATAGTCGGTAAAACATATAAACCGTGAGTCCCCGTCGGATATTCGGTTAAAATCCGTGAAATTAATCGCCCACCGCTCCCCTATATAGACAGGTACGGTATAAGGGCGCCTACTAACTTACCGTTTAATCTTTATAAGCTCGTAGGTCTCGTAGTCGATAGTTATTAGTCCCTTTATTAAAACCCCCTACGTCTACTCTTCTAGGTGCCTAAGCGGTTTAGGGCTAGCGTGCCCTAGTCGTAGATACTATAAGATACTCTCCGTAGTGCGTAGATAGCGTATCGTCGATTTATAGATAGCTTTTCGGGCGGAAGAAGAGCCTAGAAAAGTAGCCGTAGATTAGTTAGAGGGTATATATTTAATAACGGTTTAATTAAAGCGGTGACTTAGCTAGTATAATATAGATTTATCGGAACGCCGAATATAGTTATTTAGTGGCTTCTAATTCTACTAGTATCCTCGTAGTCGTAACTATTAGTTTAAGATTAAATTATAGGTAAAATCCTCGTAGTATACAATATTTAATAGCCTAAAATCAAGGCCTCCTATTAGTCCGTTTAAACTAACGGTCACGTTACCGTAACCTTTAATAGACAGGGATAGACTGCCGGCTACCACGTAGTCTCCCTATATAGCGGGTATAAAATCAGAAAAACGGGAAAAATCGTTAAAAATATAAATAGTAGCACCGGAATCGAGGATAGCAGAGGCTCGAAGAGGGTAACTAGTAGTAGCGGTTCCTGCTATGAAGCTAGCGGCGTAGGAGACGCCGCTACGGACACTACTATAGTCGAGTCACGCCTCTTTAAGCTATACAGAGTCCCGGCTTATATCCTTCTTTACCTTCTTTACGGCGCATAGTTCTTCTACTTCCGTGCGTAGCGAGGGGTCGTATTTAAGGATCTGTTAAACGGTTATTTTTGTGCTCTCGAAGGGTGTCTAATTGTTATATGCTATATCCGGGAATAGATAGAAGCAGGCGTTAATATCGTAGCCAGGCATAGCGTATACACGGCAGATCTACTCTTTTTATAGAGCAGATTAGCGGCGTTTAGAAGAGGAACGGTTAGCTAAAGCAGCAGAAGGTATAGCTGCAGGAGTCTTAGCTTTATTCTTCCCACGGCCACCCTTCTTAGGCTTAGTCGTGGTATTTAAGGTATCCTTACCCTTTTCGTTTCCGGTATACAGTGCCGGAAATACTATAGCGCGGTGGCTACCGTGTTTTCCTTAGTCTTTAAGTCTAGTATTAATATACTTCTAACTAAGGGTATAAAGATCTTCGGGTATAACTACTTAGTTATCTATAAGGCGTCCCTCAGCCTTAGTCTAATCGCGGCCGGTATAGGGGCGTATACCTCTAAAGAAATTTTTAAATATATATATGTAGCGGGCTTCGAACCGGTATCTTTATAGCTTTATAGTAGTAGCTGCTATTTATCCAACCACTCCCCGAGCTTCTTAAGGCTATTCGCAGGATAATAAGTATACTCGATATACTCTTCGTGGGTATCGGTTTAGCGGGTGGCTAGGTACTAATCCGTATCGCGTTTAACGACATATACCTCGCGGGGTATACCTCCTTATAGTAGTTATCTACGGCTTTAGTTAATAGTATTAATCTGCTAGGTTAGTATACTGTTAATCCTCTTTAGGTAGCTATCGTATTATGCTTATAGGATCTTCTAGCGCGCGATTTCGACGTTATACGCCCTCTAGCCGGCCTCCGTAAGGTTAAGATATTATATAGGGGTACGCTTAGGCGTTATAGAGGGGAAAGAGTCGTAATTCGGTATTATAGACTCCTCGGGGGATTAAGTCGGATCGACTAGGCAGAGAAACCTCTACACGTTATTATAAGTAGTAACCGATCCGTATAGGCATTGCCAGAGCTCCTAATCCTTATAGGTTTTATACGTAATAGGGCTAAGATACGATATCTTTACAGTTACGTAATAGAATTGTAAATGGTCGTAAAGTGTTATATAGAGGTTATAGAATAGACTCGCTATATCGGCACGGTTATAATGCTTTAAATCGGTAGTAGTAAAGGTAATAGGGTAGGTAAAAATGGGTATATCTTCACTTAGTAAGTGAAACTCTTAATTGTCAGATAAAGCGTAGTTAAAATCGTTATAAAATAGGTTAAAATTTGATTGAGGTAATTGTGTATAATTGTAACTGTCTTAGACCGTCAGGGAAACGCTGCCACTGTATTTTATATGGTGCAGATTCTGTAAGCGTCTACCCGGATTGTACTCTTGGTAATCCGGCCTATTATGTAACCGAAAAGACTGTGGTCTGTTCGACAGAGATCGCCGATTATAAGTCAGACCACCCCCCACCCGCCCACACCCCCTAGCCGCCCCCTAACCCACACTAAAAAAGGGGATTTCGTACCCCTGTTATTTTACTAACTGTAAAAGGAAACTCTATAAAATTAAGATAGTATATAGATCGTTATACAGTTACTATATATATAATTTTATATTTTCTATATACTAAAGCTATAAGCTAGAATTAGACCTAGAAGTCACCTGTTAGTGCTATCTAATACTTTCTTAGTAAACCTTAACAGTATAGAAAATTCTATATTAAATTAACGGAACTAAGATACTATAGCTACTATATCTTAGAAATCTTTATAAATTATAGATTATCTGAAAGTAAAGTTAAATTCATAAAATATAGTACCCTTAATCTAATATACTAGAATTAAGTTTCTCCTATATTAAAGTTTACTAGGAGAAAAGCTTTTCTTAAATAACTTAAGAGCTAATATATAATATTAACTTATAATTTATAATATAAACTATATCGAATGTTATAAGATTTTTAGGATATAGTAGCTATGGTATTTTAGTCCCGTTAATTTATTATAGAATTTTCTATTCTGTTAAGGTTTACTAAGAAACTATTTGACAGCACTAACAGGTGACTTCTAGGTCTAATTCTAGCTTATAGCTTTAGTATATAGAAAAAGTAAAGTTATATATATAGTAACCGTATAACGATCTATATACTATCTTAATTTTATAGAGTTTCCTTTATGGTTAGTGAAATAACAGGGGTATAAAATCCTCTTTTTTGGTGTGGTTTGGGGGGCGGTTAGGGGGTATGGGCGGGTAGGGGGTTGTCTGACTTATACGGTTATACCTAATAACCTCCTTAATATAACCCTCTTATTAGGCGGAAGTCCAGCACGCTATAGCGTGCAACAGGTTCTAAGGATAACTCTTTTCCTTATTTTCCCACTAAGGTACTTCGTACAAGGCGAGGAGGTGTACGTACCTTAGGCATGACGGGTGGTTTGCCACGTGATATCGCGTGGATATCGTGATTCAGATCATTCCATTTTAGGGGCACGTTCCAACCACCCAACAGGATCAATTCTGCCAACGAACCTAGAACCCGTCGTCCATGACAAGGGCTTATTCCATCCCGCCTCGCCTAATCTGGAGTCCTCAACTGCTTCTATGTGGGGAGTTTAGTCTGGTGCTCTCCTCCTTCGCAGACACGAGCAAAGTTGACAATAGAAACACTTCGGGACATCGTTCGTTTCTCATCATGCTTCCGATTGAAAATAATGAAAATTCCCACGCTGGCACACCGCTGGACCAAGACGCGAATGGCGGATACGATGAAGAAACCGCTCTGAGGCATGCTATTTCGTTGTCTCTTCAAGACGTAGGTCTTGCACCAGACACCCATGACGCAACAGTAGACCGCCAGGCGCCTGGTACCACTCTCCCGTCTACCGACTTTGGCGGTGTGCGACTGGACAGGAGAAAGATGGAAGAAGAGCGTCTTGCGAGACAGCGGAAGAGGACAGCTGACGAAGCTGGAATGAGTTGCTCCCCCCCCCGGCCGAAGCCCGCGATACACAAACCCTCGCCGCCCAGGGAGAGCCGGGGCACGAGACTCGCAACAGCGCATATTCCTCAAGTGTCCAAACACGATGCCACGCTACCCTTCGCACGTGGGGTCGTGAAAAGAACTCGGGTTGCTGGTCTCACAAGAGGAACTGACGATATCACACTCGAAGAAATACTCGATAAAGAACGTCTGGAGATGGCTGTCCTGACGTCCTTCCAATGGGATGAACAGTGGCTCTTGTCCAAGATAGACCCTGTCAGAACTCGTATGGTTCTCATCGCATATGCAAGCAGCGAAGCCCAGGTATGTGCCCTCACTCTGTGAAGGCTTTCGTGGTGCCTCCCTTTATATATATGGACGTGTACATATAGACATACAGGACAAAAGCCCTAGTGATGGACGTCGAGCGGTTGACGATACCATAGAAGCAATCGATGCAGAACAACGTGCCATCCGATTGTATCAGGTTTTGTTTTCCCCCAATGGGTACTATGGGTCATCTGCACTCCAAACTGCAGATATTAAAGTTCGAGAGGCGAGTACAAAACGATCCTTATATTGGACGACATCAGGTACTAACAGGGGAAGATGGAAAAGTCACCTTCGTATCGTCATCCCAACTGGCAATCTTGTTCCGTATGACTGGGGGGAGAGCGGTGAGCTCGAAAATGCAAGATCCATGTCAACCGATGCCTGCCGAACTGCCGCTGACACAGCACAGATGGTATTCCTCATTGACCTTCCTCGGCTTGGGGGTGCCGAAACTGTCGAGATCGCCGAAACATGTTTTCAAACCGAGCTGCTGCGTTTCTTGAGAGCACAAAATCTCGACGAGAACATCGTTAAAAGTATTGGAAAATATGACTTCGCCGAGACGACTCGGTACCGCTTTGTTCACACCATGTAGGGTCGTTTATACCTTCTCGCTTCATGTCCAACACTGACAGATGTCGATGGTAGTGCCGGAAGTCATTCTGGCTCCGATCAGCCCTGGCAACATACGGGTAAGGACCTGACCCCCCGTATCTTGCGAGAGTTCTTGCCCCTAATGACATTTTCAGGCTATTGCGGTCTCGGAAAGGCTGTCACCTCCCTGGGGTTGGCCACGGAAAGACCCGTTATCGTGGATTATGTGGTACGTAGCTTCACATGCTGATTTCGGACAGGGGAGGGATAGCTATGCTAAATGGCGGTTACCGCAGACCTCATCTTTAGGGTCTCTGAATCACTCGTATCTTGAATCAATTTATAATGCTTGCCAAGGTGAGTACAACCAATATCCGGCGACTGCCAATATGCATACGGAATAGTAACTCACGTAATTTTCAGGCGACACCGGTATGAAGGAGTACGAAGCTAGACAGCCCATGTCCAGGAGGCGCAAGGGGGAAGAGAACAGCGCGGGACACCAAGACGAGGATTCTTCCCCCTTGGCCGACCTTTTCCGGATATACTTTCCTACAGAGTCCACCATCGCTAGCAGCCGTGGCGGCAGATCAGTTAGTTATAAGCGCGGAGGTCATGCGTGTGTTTTGCTGACATGATGTCCCCAGGCTTCTGGCACAATCTGCTTCCAGGAGAAGTGGTGGAAGTCGTCTACTTTTCCCCGCGAGTCAATGCGAGATTCAGTATGCACAAAGAGAGGAGTCCTGATGCACACCAAACTGATACTCGTGAGAGGGCGAGAACATGAAAGAAAGGCTGGCAGTCCAGCCTGGGCTTATATCGGCAGTGCAAACCTCTCGGAGAGCGCATGGTAAGGAGAACGCTCTGCTCCGTGTGACTATGCGGCCCGTCCATCCCTTTTTTCTTCTTTTTTTTCTCCTTAAAGTAAAAGCTAACAGAGACGACACCAGGGGTCGGTTGGTGAAAGATCGGGGTTCAGGTCAAGTAAAACTCAACTGTCGCAACTGGGAATGTGGTGTTCTGGTCCCTGCCACTTCCAGGGGAGAGTCAGGTATCGAGAAAGGCGACCCTATTGGGCTTCATACGTTCACCGGGACGGTGCCCGTCCCAATGCAGACGCCGGCAGCAGCCTACGGGGCAAGCAGCAGGCCGTGGTTCTTTTCACGGTGATTGGTATACCGGTCGGATTTAACCCATGGGTCATGTATTTTAGAGTACTAATATGTCAGAAAGAACCGGTTACCATTTCAACCGGATGGATCTCGTCGCTTCCTTGCTGGCATGCAAACCAGTTTGCACGAATATCGAGTCCTCCCTAGCCAGACAGAAGGGCACCGCAATGGCATGCCACTCCGTAGTTGCTCTCTCTAACTTCCGACAATGCGCCAATCGAGTAGCAAAATTTCCTACATGATATATATCAGTCTTCTCCAGGCTGTGCCGTGAAAGCAGGCTTTACTGCCGTAACCCCCCCAATCACGATGGGTACGAGGTTGCCGAAGGGTCGAGAAGGCACTGATGTACCAAGCAGGTCCTCATCTGAATTGCGGATAACTGGCCGCCAATAAGCGAGGGTCTGGACTGCCCTAGAAGCAAGCCCAGCGCGGAGTACACTACTTACTGAGTAGGAGAATAGCGCCGGCATGGGACTAAGGTGAAGTGGCCTGGCAGCGGGTAGCCCGGCTGGAAATCTCCGGAGATTTACAGATTAGCACATGCCTTAGCTCGAAGGACGGCGTATCATATTGTTCCATTGTTGATAGAAGCAGGTGTGTGGACTGGAGCGTCCTTGGGCGTCCTTGGGTGTCCTCGGATGGCCCCGGTCGAAAAATGCAACCAATAGGGAATTAGGTATAGCGGTCAGTCCCAACGCTCACTGCAGCATTACACGCATGGGATTATCATCACGTGACATGGTGCTGAAGTGAGGCTTGCGTATATCTACCTACCTATCTAGTTCTGGAACAACTCGTATACGGTATCTGTTCATGCGTAACGGCGCAGAGGACAGAATCACGTGGTGGGTATCTATTGAAGTCCTGGTTCTACTCTGGATTTCTTCTGGTGTTTTCGTACTCCCTATTGCCTTATTCCAATTAGGTACCCGGCCATGTTTGTTGTGGTGGACGAGGTACGTAGGATTTTTAGAGTTCCGTAGTCGTCGCAAGGGCCTGGCCGGACGCACACGCTAATTTCCGACAAGAAGCAGTCAACGCGATTCACAAGCCATCGACAAACAGGTACATGTCGGTGGCGACTCTCGAGTATGGGTGGAAGGTCACCTTGCGGGTTTATTTTGCCCATGTTACCTATCTGTAGGCATCTTAGGGCTCGTACTCCCTTGGATACCACACTATATTAGTTCATCCCAGAAGGACGTGGCGTGACAGCAGACATGGTGTGACATAGGCAAGGGACATGCAGGGTAGGAGTGGTGAGACTCTGATACCGCGCCTGTTGGCAATTTTGCCCAACCTGCAGCCAGGATACCTCCCTACATGTATGCCTTATCCCAGGAAGACCGCGAATATTGAAGCTCTTCCAGGACCAAATTGTGGGAAACGCGTCTAATTGCGGACACAGCACGATGCGTCATTGATATGAGGTGCTCCGTCCTCTGTACATTTCTGTCGGGCGGGGGACAGGCCACCACAAAGATCAGTTGCTTCCAGGCTTTTGCGAAGACGCTTTGGCGGAACCATGTGAGTCTGGGCAAGCTGAACTACCGTATTCCGTGATCGTTTCCGCAAAAGTGTCGAAACACTCAACCTTTAGAATGTACAGAGTACCGAAAGTATTGTTCATCATACGGCCTTGCGATGTTAACGCCTCCTACACGCAGGCAGATACCTCTCCAATTGGCCCTACCTGTCAAGATCTCTGATGTTCTTCTAGTTACCTAGTATCTATTGAATAGTCTGCTAATGATCTGTGTCCTTGATGGCCAATGCTTGCTATGTACTTTATATAGGTCTGCCTACCTTGGTCAGTCTTCTTCTATCATATGAATATATCGTGGATGATCATCATGGGGGTGAAGTCGCGAACTACTTCATCACGAGCCCTGGTAGAAGGGCCCACATACCCCCGTCGATCTTCCCTATGAGCGGAGTGGGAGCGGCGGCAGCGTAGCCCGAGACCCACACCTCTAATTCTTCTTCGCGCTAGGAGCAAATGCCGTGTTGATCAGAGCCACAGCCCCCACTAGGTACTAATTGGGCACGATCCGTAAGTCTTGCTCAGTCAAGTCACTTGCCTCTTCGAGCCGCCAGGTCTGTGCGGACTGCCCCGAGCCGGAGATTTGGAGTGACAATGTCTTCAGACCATCATACCATTAATGCCTTAGGTAATTACACCAGGATCGATCGACACGAGCATGGCGTCTTAAGCTGGTTGGATACATGTGTACACCACATCAGAACACTGGGAGGCAAGGACCGTGGCTGTAGGCGAGAATGCCAGATGCCGTATCCCCTTCTTCATACTCCGGTACCTGAGTATCAGACAATGGGAGGCAAGGTGCGTTCTTCTGGATGTGGTCTATAGGGAAGAATGCCGGACTTCCTCCTTCGTTCCTACTTCCCCAGACGAAATGGGAGTCCCCGGTCCCCACCTCGCGAGGCAGGCGGGAGCCGCTGCCCTAAACTACCCACCGAGATACATCTTCAAGAGTTTTACGACGTTGTACGTGCCCATGCATTGGCCACACTATCTCTTTAAGGTACGTATATCTCAGGCGGTCCCTCTCGCCCGTGAATCCCGTCTCCCTTTGTCTTTCCATGCGCTCTCTCAACCCAAGTCATGGCCATGGCCATGAAACGAAGTTAGTGAGCAATATGGTGTTGGAGCGCAGTCGATGAAGTAGAGGACATAGGTCGGAGGGTTAGGATGATTCTGGGGGGTGGATGGTCCCTTAGCACAGAAATTGGCACCGAGGATAGACCGTGGGTTTCCAGCCAGATACATACGTATGTACCGGTCACTTTCGATATATCCCCAGTACCCCTCCCTGGGCCGGATTTTCTCGCTGTGCAAGTTACCAAGGCAGGTATGCAGTACGCGACCATCCAGGTGGACGAAGTTCCTCGGTGGTCCGTACCTATGTGCCCATATGTGGCTGATATGCCCAAACTATCTCCCGAGTCTATACGGGAGTGCGGCGCGCAGAAGGCGTAAGGGGGGTTAAGGGCTCCCGGTTTTGGCTCCAAGGATGGAATACGGGACTCCTCCCTGTCTGTGGTGGTTCGCACTTCCCATGACTTAAGAATCAAGCTACCACTTTACGTCTTCTTTTTTCGATACCTCTCAGGCAGGTCAGTTAGTTGGTCGATTGTTTCTTCCCATGCGGCAGGAGTCGAGGCAGCAAGAAGAATAAAACCAGATTTCTTCTCTCCTTTCCTGGATTTCAACTCCACCACCCTCAAACAATCCGCTCGCATCAGCTCGTGCTCGACGGAAACCACTTTACTTCGTTCACTTGCTCGCCGGCTCTGTCCCCCGTTTTCTCTTCTACGTACTCCGTAGGGAGCTCACGTCTTCTACTTCCCCCTATCATCTCCTGCTTTGCTCTACTTTCTGTTCCGGGCCTCTACGTAAGACGGACGGTCCTCAGACGGTCGAACTCTACACAGACAACGTCCAGACAACGTCCAGACAACGTCCAGACAACGGCGACACAGACAACCTCTTCGGCGAACACCGCAGGAGAGACACTGTCTACAGGGACAACCTCCTAGGCCACGCCCTTCAGCAGACACTATTGCACCTCACCTCGTCACCTCGTCACCTCGTCACCTCGTCACCTCGACTCACATATAATCCACCCAGAGTGATTCAGCGGTTGCAGCAGCTTCGCCCCAGCTCCTTTACCCTCTGTCGCCTCCCGTCCAAGGTTATACCCCGGGGCCTGTACAACCAGGCCTCCCTCATCAGTCAACTCACCTATAACCTGTTCCAAAATCCTCTCTCCATCATGGCCAACAACAATAACACCAACGATAACGGCCCTCTTCGGCCAACATTTCAGGGGCATGTCGCCACAACATTCGATGCCTTGGTGCTTTTTGAAGCTTGTCTCTGCGGTTTGCTTCGACATGTCCCTCGCCGACCTCATGACCGCGAGAGACAGGAGTTGATTAGAAGCGGCAATATCTTTATTTACGAGGAGCACGCCTCCGGGATAAAGCGCTGGACAGATGGTGTTAGTTGGAGCCCCAGTCGTATTCTTGGAAACCACCTCCTTTATCGAGAGCTGGATCAACCATTCCCACCCGGAGAGAAGAAACGCGCAGCAAAGAAGCCAAAGAAAGGCAACGGCGGGATCACCAAACGGGGCTCTCCACCCAGTCAGAACCTTACCAACAGCAGCCTCGCGCATCAGCACCATGTAGCCGCTGCCGTCGATGGTACCGGCAGCCAAAGCCACTTGTCGCAAGAAGCGAGGAGGAACGCGGAGAGGGCTCTCATCGGATCTTTGGTCGACTCATACGCGTTCAAGCAAGGCGGCCTCGTTAAGAAGACTATCAGCATCTCGTACAGGGGTGTCCCGCACCACCTAGTCTCGTACTACACCGTCGACGACGTGCTGGAGGGACGGCTAACAGCACCCTCGAAGATGGCGTTGTTCACTGGGATGTACCCGCGTGCCGAGTTGCTTATGTCCCAGAATTTCCGTGCCCCTATCGAGGAAGTTGAATACCACGACGACCGGTTTATGCAGCGTCTACTAGCAGCCCAAATGGGTGCACTAGTTCCATCGCAATTTGCCATGCAACCACGGTCCATGTCGATGCCGTCGACGTACCATATTGGCGAGAACGGGCAGTGGATCGTTCCGGTATTTCCACAGCAACATCCCTTTATGCAGCCGATGTATCAGCACAGTGCCCCATCTTCTGTCAGCCAACCGACCTTCGTACCGGAACAAGGGCAACATCACGTCTACGAGATCGGAGACCCAGCGCAGTGTAGAATGACGCATGCAGTGGAAGCCTCCCCAGAGACGACGATGGATCATGTCCCCGTCCCTCGACGGCATTCTACATACGATTCTACTACATACGACAGCAGCCAGGCAGGCCAGCCCCTAACCTTCGGTACAGGCCTGCCCGACATGGCCGACGACGATGCGAGGTCGTTCAGCGGGCACCAGTTCTTGCAAGGGAGCGCGGTTTTCAATGCGGCTGACAGACTCCCGGAAGCCGTCTCGCAAGTGCCCGACGCGTTCCCATCACCTCACACAATCGCCCAGCCAGAGCCCGGTCTCGCAATGAACACAGATCCCTCGACAGTCAAGTCAGAAGAAGACGACCACTCCCAGGGACCGGACACAAGTAGTTGGGCAGCCTTCGCCGCTCTAGATGAGGAACAGGATCATTACAGCAACGGCGGCATTCACATTGACCATACCCAACAATATGCGATTGACTGCGGCAACGACGGAGGATTCGGGGATCAAAATTGGCAGAGTGCTTTCCGGAGAGGATAACCGACTCGCAGCGCGAGTAAGAGGAGTGGGGCTTTGGAAACTCCATTCAAAACTTCACGTAAGTCAATGATCATGAATGCCTGGAAAAACCTTTGGACTGTCGAACTGATTTGCGGTCAAGGGTTCGAAGTATTGTGGGAACCCCCCCAAAAAAAGAAAAAGAAAAAAAAAAGGAAAAGGAAAAGGAGGAAGAACAAAAAAGAACGAAAGAAAGAAAGCCGATAGCGCAGCTGTCTGGAGGTTGGTAGGTTGGTAGGCTGCAGAAGGGGGAGGAACTTTGATGGAAGTTCAAGTGTCGGTCTTAATGACACCCGACGGCGACTGCGAATCAACAACAAGCGAACTCCCGTCTCAACTCGCTTTTAATATTCTTTTATTTTTGACGGAGGTTTTAATTTTGCAGTAAGGAGAGGAGAGAGAGAGTACTCCCCTTAGGTAATTACTACCAACCTAATTACCTTAGCGAATACCTACTTCAGTTACCCCATACCATATCACATGTGATTCGCAGTCCAGAGCTTGTGATTACCTAATGAACAGAGAAGGCAAGCAATCTTCTCCGGCTCCATTCCCGTGCATGTGCATGCGCATCCACAACTCGGAATCATTCAAACGATCCCCCGGAACTTGGAACGACGAGTCCTTGCCGTAGACTTGTTGGTGGACATCTGGCTGGAGGTGATGAAATTGGTGTATCAGACAACAGGTCTGCACCTGGAAATGTTGCTCCTCCGATCTGGCGGCGTTTTGGGGCCTGCCCGGAGGAGGGTCGGATGCCTCCCACATCCACCGCTGTCTTCCGGGAGGATCGGTATTTCGCATCGCAGTCTGTGCTGGGCTCGTCTGAGGCCTGTTGGCTTGCATCTACAACAGGGTCGTAGGCCGTCTCAAATCCGCGTGTACACGTCCAAAGAGGACGACAGTCACAAGAATCCCAACTCCGCCAGGTATGTGTCATAGCTTATTATGGTGGACGGGATCAGTGGGATCAGTGGGACCAGTTGGCGAGCGGTTGGCGCTCTTTGCTTTCTTTACCCCTTGGACGAACTGCGGCTTTTCGTTCCATGCCGACTGACTTCCGATTGCCTCCAATCCTCCTAGGTCGAAGCTCGAAAAACAGCACCCCATCCTAGCAAAAACCCTACACGAACATATCTATACCATCCCGAATATTCTCACCTTCTCCCGCCTGATCGCCGCGCCCTTCGTCGGTTACTTCATCCTCCACGACAACCATACCTGGGCTCTTAGCCTCCTAGCCTACTCGGCCGTCACAGATGTCCTGGACGGCTGGATCGCCCGCCGCTGGAACAAGAAGACCGTGGTGGGCACCGTAATCGATCCCATGGCCGACAAGGCCCTCATGGCCATCTTGACCGTCGCGCTCGCCGCCAAGGGTGCGCTGCCTGGTACGCTTGCTTCGCTTCGCTTCGGGCGTCTAAACCCACATCGTGACCCGTTGAGAACCTAACTTTTATTGACTCGCCTACGTGTCCTCCGCCAAAAAAATCTAGTCTGGCTTGCTAGCATAATACTCGGCCGTGACGCTGGGCTCGGCCTGGCGGCGCTCTACTACCGCTGGATCTCCCTGCCGTCGCCCAAAACCTTCGCCCGATACTGGGATTTCTCCCTCCCCTCCGCGGAAGTTCGTCCAACCACCATCAGCAAGTACAATACCTTCTTGCAACTAGCATTGATTGGGCTGACTACGGCTGCCCCCATCATTCCCTACGACTTGTCGAGTCAATTGACTCTCATGCAGTGAGCGCCCCCCCCTTCTTTTTTCATTCTCCAAGGAACGGAGGGGAACGCCGTATGCAGTCGTCTTCGTGGCTGACCAGTTTTAGGTACGTTGTCGCTGCCACAACTCTGTGGAGCGGGGCGAGCTACATCTACTCCAAAGACGCCGTGAAAATCCTAAACACCCCTCGAAAGCCAGGAAAGAACGTAGGGGACAACTCGTGAAGCATATGGCGGCTTGGTCTAGCCACCTCGTTCTTCGACAAATAATAAACGGACGTCAATGGGAATATTAAGCCCACGCGCTCTACCGCGTGGTTATTCCTTCCAACGGGTCATTATTCTGCGACTCCGTGCCTTGCGGCGCGATGCGCTGTGTACATGATCACGAGCTGAGCGTCCTGAAAATAACCGAGCTGGTCTTTCCTTGACACACCGCAGGGAGTGAGAACTTGGCTTAGTGAGGTGCGAGAATAATGGTCTCGGATTTTACATAGCTATATATACAAAGTACCTATACAGAGTACGAACGTCGCAAATATACACCCTAAGAACCCAAGCTCTGCGGTAAGCCATGATCAATTACGCCTCCGTGCCCAAGGGGCAGACCTATCGGGACTGAGCCTGAGAAGCGCTCTGATCGTTCCTGGCGCCTCACGAACACGAGAAGCCGAACACAGCCAGATGGTGTGACGCCTTCCAGCCGGCGAGCTTGACCCAGTGTCTCTGGCCTGGCGGCTTTGAGAATCTCCTTCTCGTTCAGCGACAGCCCCGCAACTTGATCGTAGTCGAGATCGACGGGCAACCGCAGTCCCTCGTCTCGCGCGAAGGTCCTCCGTTCGGCCAGTTGCTTCTTCACAAAGGGTGCGTAAACTGCCTCGATATTGACACGCGACCTTACTCGTTTTGGATAGCGGTTGATCTCGGGTATCACTGCCGCTACCTGGTCTAACGTCACGTCGCGCAGTCGCAGGATTTCACAAGCGTCCCGACGTCGACTATCGTCCTTGACTTGGAAGCCGTCCCTCATCCACTCCGTGGGAGACTTGATCGAGGAAAAGAGAAGCGCCATGAGGTCGTCGATTTGCTGCTTCTCGTCCGAAAAAGACGACCAGCGCCTGTCCGAGATGATGCCCCAGCCTCGTCCTTTCTCGGTCAGTCGCAGATCTGCGTTGTCAGCCCGCGTGGTGAGCCTGTACTCGCTGCGTGATGTGAACATGCGATAGGGCTCCGAGACGCCTTTCGTAATGAGATCGTCAATCATAATGCCGATGTAGCCGTCCCCTCGCGAGACGGTGATGGGCTCGAGATCTTTGGCTGCTCTGCCCGCGTTTATGCCAGCCACGATACCCTGGCCCGCAGCCTCCTCGTAGCCTGTCGTGCCATTGATTTGACCTGCCAAGTACAGACCTCTGATGGCTTTTGTCTCGAGCGTGGCTTTAAGACTCCTCGGATCGATGTAATCGTATTCGACGCCGTATCCTGATTGTAGGAGTTTGGCGTTCTCCATACCCCTGATCGACCGGATAATTTGTTCCTGGGCTTCTGGCGGGACGGTCATTGACAACCCGTTCGGGTAGACAACATCGTTGTCGACGCCTTCCAGCTCCAGCCAAACGATATGTCGTTCTTTGGTCGGAAAACGGATGATCTTCGACTCGAGAGACGGGCAATACCGTGGGCCTTTCACAGATTCGCGTATGTGAATGGTCTTGTCGAGGTTGGCCCGCACAATCGCATGTGTGGCCTCATTAGTGTAGGTGATGTAGCATTCGAGTTGTTTATCCGTGGCCACCGTGTCGTTGAGATAGCTAAACGGCGATGGAGGGTCCTCGCCGTGCTGGGGTTCCAGTATTGAGAGGTCGAGGCTACGGCGCGATACCCTCGGCGGTGTTCCCGTCTTGAGCCGCCCGAGACGAAACCCCGCGTCCTTAAGAGACTTGCTGAGTCCGAAAGTGGCCGCCTCTCCTATTCGGCCCGCGGGATAGCTCTCTAAACCGATGTGAATCTCGCCGCCGAGAAAGGTCCCCGTGGTTATGATGACCCGTCCCGTCGAAATCACCTCGCCGGATTCGAGCCGGACGCCAGTTATCCTACTCTGTGAGCCATCAGATGATTCATTGTGGGAGGATAATACAATATCGGAGACGCTGCCCAGGACCACAGAGAGGTTCGGATAGTTCTCCAGTTCTTCCCGCATATACTTCTTGTATAGATCTCGGTCGATCTGCGCGCGAGGTCCCTAATGTTCGGAAAAGCACGGAGAGGTAGAAGTCAGTTTTCGGCGGACGTGATGCGGGATCTTGGGGTACGATTGTATGCATACCCAGACAGCAGGTCCCTTCTGGCGGTTCAAGACTTTGAAATGTATACCGGCCTTGTCTATGATTCTCCCCGACAAACCGTCCAACGCATCGATTTCACGGATGATGACGCCCTTTCCGATGCCACCAAAGCTTGGGTTGCAAGAGCAGGTACCCAGGTTGTCCATCTTAGGCGTCACTAGAGCAGTCCTCGCGCCAGCTCGTGCGGCTGCCGCGCACGCTTCGGCGCCGGCATGGCCGCCTCCTACGACAACCACATCAAAGAATCTGGCGGACGATTGTTACTACGTTTTACGTCGGATAATTGTATATATATATATATATAAAAGGCGCAACGGGGAACATGGTGCATACCTGTTGTTAGGCGCAGCCGACGCTAATGTCCTTCGATCTTGTCGCAATGATCTGGGCGTTTTCCACCGTTGAAGAACTGATATGGTGCGGAACGTTCGCATGCTATACGTGGGCGGAAACGACGCTTGACCTGGGTCACCAACAAGTAGGGTCTTCGTTTGGTAATTCCGTTGGGGTTCAATGAAGCGTCTGGTCGTCTTCTGTTGTCCGAGGGTCAAAAATACTCCCCTGGTGAATGAATTGGTGAATGACTGTGATTTTGGTCTGATTCGGAGATGGTACAAGGCAGGTCTCTTTTAGGTACCTTAATTACAAATAGGTACCTTAAGATATCTGCGAATGATAAGATACGATAAGATAAATGGAGAAGTTGGGAGTTGGACTCGTACTTCATGGTTACTTCATTGACTTCTGTCCGCATAAGACGAATTACGTAAGGTACCTAAGTATGCCCTCCGATTCGGCACCCCCCTCCATTATCGATTCCCAAGGCCACTACCTCGCCTCCGTATTGCATCGCATCGTGCCAGGTCCTGCCTGGTCAGTAGAAGCCCGGTTATTTGAGATCTACCGATTCTCCCTCGTCGCCCTCCCGACGTCTGGCCACATAGATACAGCGTCAACCACTTCTTCCAGAAAAGTGGAGGCGTTATGGATAGTCGTGCCTCCAAGGACTATCCTGACACCTGGAGACGATGCGTTTACAGCAGCAATCATCTTGGCCTCCTCAAAGGTTGCACCGCCCACGATGAAGATGATAATGTCCTGTGGCTTGTCCCGTGTAACACTCGCACCTTCAACAAAGGGATACTGTTGCTCCCTGAGTTTGCCCTTGACTAGGTTTTGTAAAGTGCCTTCGAGAAGGGGACTATGCTGGGTGTAGACATTTTCAACACCCTTGAGCCCCTTGAAACGGTCCCGGGCGCCAGAGAATATGCCGGTGGACTCAAATATGTCTGCTATTCCCGTCTGGGACTGTGACTTTTGGAGGGACGAGTGATACGTAAGGAGGTTTGCCACCAGGCCTGCCTGGTGTCTTGAGACACCACCAGCGGCAACGAGGAGGTCAAGCAGCATGGGGAGCACATTGCCAGGATGCTTTTCATAGCGAAGAGCATACAAACAAACCAGTGACACCTTGTTTTGCGGCGTTACTTTGGGGGACTGAATGATATTTTGCAGATTCTAGTTCGGACACGACCACGTGTCAGTTGCCAGCCGCGGTGATGAAAACGCGAATGGGAGAAAACGGGGGTGGGGGGGACGAACCTTGACATCACCGGAATGGTTGTCGTTACAAGCCAGACTCTGCTCCAGCTCGCTGACCTCGAGTAGGTTCTCGGCGGCGACTCGTCGACTCAGCTCGGAGATTAGGGTGACATGCTTGCTGACGTTGCCTGAGAGCTTTCGAAACTCTGGATACTCTTCAATAAAGCGCTTCATATCACTAATAGACTCGATATTGGCGTTATTTTGTGTCTTTGATTGGTATTGTTCGACGTATTCCTTGATATTCCCGCCAAGGTCGCCGAAGTTGAGGTACATGTTCTTCTTGAAAAAAGGGTCCTGATCATGGGACAAGACGATCTCTTTCAGCTCGGGTCGAATGTCATGGACGCCACTAAGGTCGACTCGGCCATTGTCGATGCCGAGCAGATGATGCACCATGGCCTGGTATGTCCACTGAGTGAGGAGCGGGGTGATAGGATCCTCCCTCCGGTCGAGGATCAGCAGCACAGGCGGCGTGTCAACCTTGCGGAAGTCGAAAAGCTGGTCCTCCTGGGTCATAAGATGCCGAACTTCGGTTGCTAGTTTTTGTGCTAGCGGGCTACTCCTGGCGTATCGGATGACGGGCTTCTTCTTGAGGGCCAGAAGAACGGCCACCAAGCCGGCGGCGCATCTCTGAAGAGCGTCAGGGTTCCAGACGTCTGGGTTGGTTGACCAGACACGATATTGGGGTACGGAGAGGCCAAGAGAGAAGAGATCAGGATTTATGACAATGAAGTCGGCGAACTGTTCCTGCACGAGCTTGACAACTTCGTGGTCATCGGCCTCGGCGAGTCGTTCCAGCGAAGACTTCTTGACGACGTTGGTGAAATAGATAAAATACTCGCCATATTTGGGCTCGCGGAGTTCGTCGATGAGGTGTTGTATGGATTCGGGAGAGGGCCGAACGACACAGAGACACCTCAAGTGCCGCATCTTTTCCCTGGATGAATTCTCCAGGCGGTCTATCAAGTAGACCTCGTGGCTGAGCAGTGTGGATTGGGTGACTGCCGTAGAAATAATAGGCACCGTCTCCTTGTCTAATAGGAGGGCTTTCATCTTGGCAGAATGACTGGACGTATAGGCATCGCCAGGTGGTGAGATGATGCGGGAGACATAATTGTATACAGCCTGGGCCACGTCCATAGCGGCGGAGACCTGTGGTGGTGGATCAACAGCGAAACGTGTGACGTTGGAAGATGCGGGAGGACGCGGAGGCTTTAAGTGCGAGTATGAGGAGAATGTGGCTGACGGCCAGTGCACTGTTCACGATCCGTGAAGTCTTGACGATGTTGATGCTCTGGTGGTCCCTCAGCTAGTGTAGCTTCTTTCCTGGCCGCAATTCACAATTCACCTAGTTTCCAATGTATCATCTGGTGAAAGGATGAGTGGCATATGAGAAAGGGTGGACGTGCTGTCATCTGAATGCTTATCTCAAATCCCGCGGGCCTTACTAAGGAGCTAAGACAAAACATTACTGGGCCTATAAGTTGCGGGACATCCCCCGGCAATATATAATGGGCCCGACGGCGAGGACATCACGTTTGAATTTTCGGACATTAACAAGCAGGGCCATAACATCAATCCGGATAGACCTCTATGCTATAGCTAGTTTATATTTACCAATTCAGACGCAATATACTATTATTATATTTAATTAAGCTTTAATTCTATAGGTTAAAATAATTAATTCATTACTATTATACTGTAATTACACTTTAGTAGGAGTAGTAGTAGCCGTCTCTGCTTCTTCTTCCTGCTACTATAGTAGTTTAGCCTTGGCCCGTCTTATCGCTTTAACTATCTTCCCCTTGAATTAGGCTAGAATTACTTTTCAATTGTGATTATTTAGGGTATCGCGAGGGAGAAGGGGTTTATTAATATGTATATTAAATATCTATATAGACTACTAAGGAGCCTATATACCGGGGCTATAGGTTATAGCCGTAGGAGCTATTAAAGATAGCAGGGTATTATGCCGTTTATCGGGAGCCGTGATTTTAAAAGCAGAGGGTAGCCGCTTAGTACTATTCTTACCCTAGCCTTTCTTCTTCCTAGTATTCGATCGATATCTTAATAACGCCTTTAGACCGGCCTTTGGCTTAAACCGTTACTAGTTTAAAAAAACTAAGGAATATTAGGATAAGCGTGGTACTAAAGCTATCCAAAGAACGATTCTATCGCTAATAGCGGTCGATTACTATAATCTAAAAGGGCCCGAAGCCGTGCTACTGATTGAAAAACTTATACCGATATTAGAATATACAGTGCTTATACGTTGCTATAGGACTAGTACTAGCCTTATATATAGATAGGGGGATCGTGTTTAGGTTAGACTATTAGAGATACGACACGTCGAGATCTAGTAAGATGGTTAGCTAGAAGCTAGCTTAGAAGACTAGCTTAAACCTAAACCTAGTTCTAAGAAAGCCTCCCGCTACCCACTTAGTTAGAAGACCTTAGGTAGATATAAAGAAAGGAGTATCTTCTATAGTTTAAGGAGTCTTAAGGGAGGGGACTTAACGAATAATCTTATCACGATGCCCCCTTTTTAGTTTCTATTAGACCTTATATGATCTTATATCTTCCCGTAGGTATTTATTACTCCTTATAGTAGACCTATAATATTTTATTTATTCTTCTTTTCTATATGGGTATAACGACTAATAAAGATTATAATACTACTAATCTATAAGAATATAATAGGGGGCTACTATACCTTGTTAAGAAATAAGCTGTAATACTAGGGAAAAGATATACCGTAACAGATAATACTATCGTGACTTAATAGTCGTATATAATAACGATTTTAACTTAAGGAGGAAAAGGAAGACTTTTCTTCCTCTAGACTAATATAGTAATTTAGTCTCGCTAAGTGCTCGGCGATCCGAGTATATCTTCGATCCTATATAATTCTAATCTATAATACTACTTAGTTCCTTATACTGCCCCCTCTCTAATAGGGCTAATCCCTTAGGCCTATTTTATTCCCCCTTTACTGGGCAGAACGTGCATATAACTCTAGCCTTATACGAACCCCGTTATCCGGTTAGCGCTTATAATTAATTAGTATAGGTAAAGCTACATACCTCCTTCTAAATATCATGACTTCTTTTTAACGTATAGCTAGGTAATCGGTAAACCGTTGGCGATAATTACGTGGCTGACTTATTTACTAATTAGTATTCCCTTTCTAGCGTCCCGCGTAATAGCCGGCGATTACTCGCTATATTTTATAATATCGCGCTTATAGTTATCGTTCTTTATACTTACTCCCTCTTTAGCCGGATTCGTAACTAAGGCGACTATTCGCCGCGTATATAAATCTTCCTTATTTCTTTTCGTAGTTATTTTCCTCTTTGTCCTTTTTCTTATATAATCTTTATTCCTTATTTCACGTTTTCGTTAACTATACCTCCTTATTTATATTTATATCTATATTACCCCTAAGTAATCTGTATTTTTATCTTTATCCTATATCGTTAGTTATCGAATATTCGCTAATATATCGCTTCCGCTCGGTATTATATAGGAGTTACACCGTATATCTTATAATACTAGTAAGGAGTAGTTAGGGAGCTACTTTACTAATCTGCTTTATAGTCGTTAGCCTCCCTAGCTACCAATATTTATATAGATTATATTAACTAATCTAACTCTAACGTATATAAGTATACTATTTATGTCCGCTTATATTAGGCGTATATATTTATAAGTCTATCCTTACTCTTACTAAATATTCGGCTTTTAACGCCTTTAGATCCTAGATAGTCTCCTAGGCGCTATCTACAATATTTAGAATATTATTACTAGTATTCTTTATAATAGGATAGATAACAAACTAACGCTAATTAGTCGGCGCTGTTTTTATTTACGGCTTTAGGCCCTATATAAGTAGTTTTATAAGGTCTTAGATAAGGCTATTTATCCTCCTATTACTATTACCGCTAGTCGCCTTATACTTAATAAGCTTTCGTGTATTCGGTTACTTCTAATTATTAACCTTATAATACGGGTTTATATCTACTATTCGCTATTTATTAGTCGGCTTACGCTAACTTCTCCTAGATTAATAATTTTTCAGCTAAGGATGCCTATTCCCTTATAGAGATAGTTATACCTCCCCGTAACTATAGCCTTATTACCTTTATTACCCTAAGGCGGGTAGTCCGTGACCTCTGGGGTACCGATATTAAGGAGTATCCCGCTAAGCGCACGGCTTAAGCCGCCGGCTATAACTAGCACAGTATAGTTATATTCTCTTATTTATAGAGTTTAGCTGCTACCCTTACTAATATTAATAAGCCTTATTATCCTTTTATATCTGCCGTTTTTACCGGCCGCTATACTACCGCCTATAAGCTCTAAGTTTATATCTAATCGGATAATAAGAATAGAATTATTAAGTAATCGCTATCCCCTGCTATTAGCGTCGACTCCTTTACCGCCTCGCTTATTACCGCTAATAGCCCTAAGGCTATTACCGAGCTATCGCCTATAACCGCACTATCTAAGGGGAAGGAGGGCATAAAAGAGGAGGGTATTAAGCCTAATTCCGATAATATCGATATAAACGATACCGATTCTTCGGCGGAGTTTACTAATCCCTCGGAGAAGGTTATTGTTATTAGTAGCGATAATAACTCCTTTAAGGGTTTTAATAATTAAGGATAGATTTTTTAGGTAGCTATAAGACGCTATATTAACAAGGCTAGGGGTAATTATTTAATAGTCGCCTTTTAGCGTTATCGCCCTATACATAGCCTTTACTATCGCTATTATCTGGATAATATTAGAAAGAACATCGTCAAGCCAAAAGTGACTCTAAGGTGCCGTATTATCGATAAAATCAATTCTGATATCGGATTCGGATTCTACGCCCTTAAAGCACCGGAGACCAATATCGCAGCGAGGCCGTAAAGGGCGTAGTGGGTTATATACCATAGGGCGGCCCGTAGGGCTAACTAAACACGATACTAGTATACTATTATAGAGCGCTTAGAATACGATAACTAGTACTAACCCGGGGTATATAGCCCCGGGGGAGCTCCTAAAATCCTAGGCACTAAGTAGGTGTATTAAAGGCGTATTATATAAACTATATACCTAATTTTCCAGACTATTAGCTAATAAGGTAAACGCTAATAAGGCGCTAAAGCTTATATAGAAAATTCTTTAGATATAATACTATAACAGTCACGAAAAAAGCACCTAATAACAGGCGCGTAATAGAAGTAAAATCGATAAAACCTCTAAGACAGAGATTATAACTACCGCCCCTCTCCTAGGATACTATTATAGCGGCTTCGTAACGCCGGCGTTACGGTATCACCGGAAGAAACGTGGGATAGCGTTATCCTGACCTTAACTATATAGAATCCGTAACGGACTTACTTTTCGTAATATAAGCATTCCTACCCCCGCCTATAACACGATATAGCGCGGAACCGATATAAGCCCGAAAAAGGATTACCACGCCCCCCGGAACTAAGAGTAGCTAAGAGTAAGGTAGAAATATAGGCCTTACTAGCTAACAGGAACACGATTTAATAGGTTGTGGAGCTAGTCAAGGAATTAATTATAATACATGATACCCGTAAGGACGCCGGCGCGATACCGTTAGTATACCTATACACTACTATCCGCTATATTATCCGAGAGAAACTCCAAAAAGGAATAAATGGCATAAAAAAGACCTAGGCTAATATCGTAGCCCGGGCCCCCGCGGTAATACCGCCGCGGGACCCTACCCCCCTTAAAATAATCCCCGCTAGGTATTACCGGGAACTAATTATCCGCTAAGGAACCCTCCCCGAAAACTAGCCCCTTAGAGCTAGGACCCTAAAGAAAATTATCTAAGCTATAAACGCTATAATTACCCGATATAATACTATAGCGGTATAGAAGCTACTAAGTGGAGATATCTACCTTACCTTTACCGAAGGGGTATAATAATAGGCTACCTATAAGAAATAATAGATTAAGAAGGCTTTTAGTAAAGGAGCCGCCCTAGCCGTATACACTTACCACGCTAGCTAAGGCTATCCCTTAAGAGGTCCTTAACACCCTATCCGAAGAAGACCTACTAGTATTCCTATAAAATATAAACCCCGAGGCTAAAATTATCCGAGTATAATAGCGGGTACCCCGCCACGGTATTAGTAGGGTAGCGCTTCTCCTTATCGAATCGGCTTCGCTAAAAGGGGTAATAAGCCTTATCCGGAATACCCTCCTCTTTAAGGGGGGTAGCTATATCTACGAGCTATATAATCCTAACCTTAGCCCCCTAAAGTGCTATAAATACCTATACTTTAGCTATAAGGCGAATAGCTACCTTATAGCGGAGAGGGTATATTATTACTACGCTAAGCCCGAATCGGTCTACCTATAAAGCCTAGGATACTACGAAGCTATAGCGCCTAGGCGCCCCCGCTATTACGCCGCCTATACCGGAGATTATAATATTTTAACGATTTATACTGGCTACTAAAGAAAAAGGCTAAGAAGACCCGCGAAGCGTATAAGTACTAAGCTAAGGACTTTAATATTACCTGCTAGACCGAAGCGGTATATCTA